TTAATCAACACAAGCTATGCAACAAATATTTTTTGCTTATTCTGTAAAGGAAAAATAAAGCATCTTATTATCTTTTTAATAGCCAACTAAATTAAAAAAAGATTATTTGCAGCTGGTACTTATTGGTGGTGTCAGAGGTGAGCTACAGGTTATTAATACTTAGGTGTGGGATTTTTCCTAGTCTTTCTTTATTACACAGCAGATGTTGGTTCACTACCCTTTCGATTCTCAGCGTTCTAAATCAGTGTACAGGTGCAGATTACTTACAAATTCCAGCCAATAAGTTAACAAGCTAGTTGTATGGATGACTGTAATAGTAATTCAAGACTTGCGGACATTAAACCCTCCATTAAAAGTAAGCACCTTTGTACAATAAATCCCATGGACCCAATTTACTTAACCCACTGGGTGGTGGTGGAAAGCCAACAATATCAGTCATGATAAACTCATGAGATACTGGTGAACCATGTTTCCTTCCTGAACTTACCTTACCTTGGTGACCTAATTGAAGCTGGTAAAGATATGAATGCTTGTTACATAATATTACATAGTTACATAGGCTGAAAAGAGACATGCGTCCATCACGTTCAGCCTTTCTCACATTTGTTTTTGCTGTTTAATCAAAAGAAGGCAAAAAACCCAATCTGAAATTCTTCAAATTGTGCAACAAACTAGAATAAAAAACTTTTTGACCTCAGAATGGCAGTCAGACATCTCCTTGGATCAAGAATTTATTATCCCACTAATTAGAAATTATATCCCTGTATACAATGTCTTTGTAAGTATTTATCCAATTGATGTTTAAACATCTGTATAGACTCTGATAAAACCACCTTGTTAGGCAGAGACTTCCATATCCTTATTGTTCTTACTGTAAAAAAAAACACCCTTTCCTTCGCCTTAGACTAAATCTCCTTTCTTCCAGTCTGAATGCGTGACCTTGTGTCTTATGTATTGTCTTATTAATTAAGAGATTTCCAGACAATGGTTTGTTTTGGCCCCGAATATATTTGTATAATGCTATCATATCCCCTCTGAGGCGCCGTTTTTCCAAACTAAAGAGATTTAAATTTGTTAACCTTACTTCATAGCTAAAATGGTCCATTATTTTATTAAATTTGTAGCCCGCCTCTGCACTTTTTATAGTGCCATAATATCCTTCTTTAGAACAGGTGGGTGCCCAAAATTGCACAGCATATTCTAGATGTTGTCTTACCAGTGATTTATAAAAATGCAAAATTATATTTTCAACCCAGCCCTTATTTATACATGACAAAACCTTACTGGCCTTAGCAACTGCAGATTGACATTGTGTCCTGGCTGCTAGTGTGGTCCAACACGCAGAAACTATGTAAACATATACATAAAAAAGGAAAGAAAATAAAAGGACAGAGAGTAAACCGGACCTTAGAATGGCCGGACTAATATGCTAGTGATAGAGAATGGTCAAAGGGAAAGCCGAGGTCAAGGAAGCCAGAAATACTCAGATACCGTTTAACCTCTTAAGGACCAAACTTCTGTAATAAAAGGGAATCATGACATGTCACACATGTCATGTGTCCTTAAAGGGTTAAACAAGCCAAGTCAGGGGAACCAGAATTCGGAATAACCAGGGAAAAGCCAAGATCAGGATACCAGGAAGTAATATTCACAAAGATAAACGCACTCTAGGGAACCAGGAACAGGAAACCACGACAGGGCAAGGTACTGGGGTGAATTAGGGATTTAAATATCCCTCACTAGGCTCTGATTGGTCAGAAGGTGACCTCTGACCCCAGAACGTGCGCGTGCGTTGACGTCATGATGTCACGCGCACGTTCGTATAATTTTGGGGGGTGGAGCCATGGATGGACGCAACCGCATGGTCGGCGCCATCTTGGATTTCCCCGAGCGGCGTGGAGGAGCGGTTCCCGGCTCGCCGCTGAGCAGGTAAGCTCAGTGAGTTGGTGCGGTCGTGCCGGTTTGGCACGGACGCACATGGCGGCGAGCCGGGGGCTGTGACACATTGCAGATTGTTGCCTAGTTTATAGTCTGTAATAATTCCCAAATCCTTCTTATATGAAATGAGTGTTTCCACTCCTCAAACATTATAATTATTGGTTTAAGTTATTTGACTTTTTTTTTGTTTGTCTGCTTTTATTACAACCATCTGCCTATCTTGATATTTGCCATGAGCAATGGTTGTAATGTTACATTAAAATCATTCCCCAATCAGAAAATGAGAAAATTAGGAAAATGTCTTCTGTTTATGTGACATTGTCAGTTATTTATACAATGATTTTCTGTTATTTTACCTTGCCTAAATTTGCCATTTTTTCCTGCTCTTTTATTCCCTAATAAAATATGTTTTTTCAAGAAGAATTGATTCATTCCCGTAACTTACCCAGTAATGTGTGGTATATATAAGTGATTTATAGTTCCTAGCTCCATCCCTCTTAGGGAATTTTTCATTTAAGTTTATATTGAAATATTTGACCTTATAATTAAAA